GGGGGTAGGACTCAATTTAATTTCATGAAAAGAAAGAGGTCTGTAAACTTTCTACGCAACCTTACGAAAAAAACACCTTGTCTCATGTGGATCCAAAACCGGTCCTTCAGTGCAATAATGTTCAATTCAGAGCACTAAGACACAGCACAGTTTTTCATTCAAAGGGAAGCGACTCATAGCTTTAAAAAGTGTTTATTTTTTTATTGCAGTTGCGTACCCTGAACACAAGACACTTTTACTGCTGATTTTTCATATTTTTTTAGCGGGAATGTAAAATGTCACGATGAAAGACTGGGTTTTATTTGATTGGTATTGATGTTATATTAATTTGAAGAATGGAGAAATTCAAACTTGATCGAGCGAATAATTACAGAATCATATCTGTGATTTATATAATTTTTCTTCCTCTTTTCCGACTTCCAATCCACAATTTACTGAAAAATGTTAAGTAAAATGGGAAGGAAAACTTCATGACTATCTTTGAGGAACAAAAATAATAGAAGTATTTAAAATGCAAAATTTCTCAAAATTGGTCGCTTTTCAGGTAATTTTTGAAGATCAAATAAAAATTGAAAAATATGTGCTTTTTGAAAATCTGTTTAAATCTAGATTCTGAAACACATTTATTGGGTTTTTTAAAGTTCGTTTCGTTTAGTTCACATTCCATGTTTTAGCTGTTTTATCTCTGGGGGTGGAGAAGGGAGGAGTCAATCGATTCAGAAAGTCAACAAACAAGGCGAAGCCGTGGGACTTGAATGGATACGATCCTACTGTGACATAAGATTCGCTTCGGTTTTACATGAAGAGCTTGACTGTGGCCATTTCTTTGTTTGGTGAGTACATTTTTGGAGTTCTTATGTACAAACTATGCATTTTGTTTCCGGTAAAGGCAATCTTGATAGTTGAAACTAGAAAATTTTATTAGTTTTACAAACTAGATTTCTACTATTCTACACTACTGTTGTACACATTCAAGTGTTGGTCGATCAGCTGGAAATCCCAGTACATGAATGAATAACAGGAAATGGGAAGGAGTAGACAGTTAAAAACTAGATCTAGATCTAGATCTAGATCTAGAATCTAGATCTAGACCCAGGTTTTAGTAGTTTTAGTTTTGA